TCGAGAAGCATCAAGCTACATGATAAATGATAAGAGAGGAAAAAGAAAAGATGAGAGGTTTACCTTTGAAGCCATCTTTAATGAATAAAATGTATGAATTGATTGATGTAGTTATCATCAACTTAAATCCCCCTGAATAAAAAGCTTCGAATGCTTATCGAAGTCGAAAGGGGAAAGAGTAAAAGTTTGAGGTATCGAAATATGGATTGCGCGACAAGGTGACGACCCTGTCAGAAAAAGGTTGAAATATTTTGAAAGTAGGTAAGGTAAGGGAAGGTGTAAGGTGTAAGGTGTAAGGTATAAGGTGTAAGATGATGGGTGATGGGGTGATGGTTGTTGATTGATGATTGATGATTGATAAGAGATTCGATTCGATAGGAATCAAGAAATTGATGGTTCGAGATTGAAATTGCTTTCCTTCAATCGTTGGTAATGAGAAAAGGATGATTGATGAACCGTGAGCGTGAGCGTGAGCGTGAGCGTGAGTGTGAGGTAAAAAGGGTAGGAAGAAAAAGAACCCAAATATTACTAAGAAGTCCCTTTTTGGGGTAATTTATCAAAAAGGTATCGATTATCGAAGTTGGTTTGCTTGTGTATGTATTATATCTCCGTCTTTGCCTTTTCGCAGATGGATTCTGATCTTGATTCTGGTAAGATGGTCCCCAAAAAGGTTGAAAGGTTGAAAGGTTGAAAGGGTGAAAGGGTGTAGATGTGAAACGACAATTGATATTTCGTTGGAAGCTTAGGGGAGAAATTGATAAAATAATTAAACCGACGACGGAACGGAAGATAATGGGAAATTGGTACAGAAAGCCGTTATTGATTTTGGTAACAAGGGAAAAAAATAAATAGTACAGGCGAACTTGTATGAAGTGAATGGAAGTGAAGGATGAAGTTAAGTTAAGTCAAGTGAAGTAAAAGTTAAGTAGATAAAGTAGTTAAAGTAGTGAATGAATGGAAGAATTTCTCTTTCGTTTCGTCTCGTCTCGTTTCTTTCCTTTCTCTCTTCTCTCTCTCTCTCTCTCGTTCTCCTTAATTGTTCAAATCTCTCTCTTCTTTTGCCTCTTCTTCTCTCGACTCTCTCTCGTCACTTAATATTCTACTGGTAAGTTGAGAATCTCCTTTTTTTTTGTTTCTTCAGATCAGACCAGTCTGAATTTTATGATGTAGAAAGTTGAAGATTGAAAGTATCTTTTCGATAGAGATCAGAAGATAGTGTATGGGATAGGAAAAGAATGTTGATGTTAATGTTGAAGTTTAGATGAGGGAGATGATCGCTCGGACAAAGAAACTTTGATCCTTTCTTCTTATTCTCTTAATGAACGAGGAGATATTTGTGCACAGAAGAGGATCGTGCTTTTTTTTTTTTGGAAGGGAATTCTTTTTATGGGAATTTATAAGGTAGGTATTTGATATGAATTTGATATGTTTTTGATATAATATGTATTTGATATAAGTTTGATATAAATTTGATATATGTTTGATATGTTGAATGAATAATAACTTATAAAACATAAAATAACGAAGAAATAAATCAATATAAGCCGTATCGAATCAAGTAGTTTAATAGATTTTACATTCCGAGAAGAGAACATCCAGTAAGAAGTAGAAGTTACAGTTTAGACTAAAACAAAGTATATGAATTATGAAAATCCAGATATCATTTCTACCTTCTGCCGAGATCCTTTTCAAGAGTCGAGAGCATCGAGAGAGTATACCGGTAGAGAAAGGGTACTTACTGATAGGAGTTCTACTCGTAGGGTCGGTAATTAAAATTTACTTATAGTACCTAGTAGGTAAAGGGTACATACAATATATACTAGGTAAGTGAAGCTGATAGCTTACAGCTCACAGCTATCTCCAAACTTCTAAAGTCGGAAAAGGGTATAACGATGAGGTCAAGTTCACAGTTAGAAGTTGCAGGTCTCAGGTTACAAGCTTAATGCACGCAAGTGGGAGGAAATTCGTAGATGCAGATGAATCTCCAGAGAAAGTCTCACGCGGGAATCCTTGGCAAGTCAGGTCAGGGCAAGCTTAAAGCAGGAGAGAGGGAAGAGGGAAGAGGGAAGAATGGGGCGACGGTGACGGTGACGGTGAACAGACCTCATCAAATCACAAGTGACTACTAGGTACTCCGTAGAGTGATGAAAATCTTCAACTCTTCGCTGTGAGGTTGGACGGAGTCAAATAAAAGTAGAACGGGGCCGGGGAGTGTATTAACGGATCCATAACCGAAATCGCGAATGGAGATGTATCATGTACGGAGTAGAGTACCGCTTCATCAAGTGAGAGTGCTTACCGGTTACTTTGAAAGTGGAGATGTTTTTAAGATGATTTATTAATGATTTGATGAGGTTGAGATTGAATATTGGATATTGGACATTACATTACATTACATTCGAATCATCCAAAAAGAAAAAAAAAATAGATGAATTGGCAAATATTTAATCCCGTCGTTGTATCTTACTGTATTATACCGTATGTATATGGCTTTTCATTGATACATTATTGTCATCCACATAGATTTATATTGATTATGATTACTCTAGGTTCTAGGTATGTAAGATTCTAGATATCTTTTAAGATCCAAAAGACATAGAAGCATCTAGGTATATAGTTTAGCTCCTTTTACTCTATCATTCTACTTTCTATCGATAAATACTCAAGTCATAAACGATCCCTTTCCATTCAATTCAAACCAACCCACTCATCAATATCATCATCAACATCATTATGATTATCAAATTTACCAACATCTCTCATCTAATATCTAATATCTATCTAATCACCACTCTCCATCCATCTATCCATCCATCCATCCATCCCTCCCTCCCCAAAACCATCCAACCCAATCTAATCCAATTTCCCTCTTCCCTCTTCCCCCTCCCATCAAAAAACCACACCATTCCCCATTCATCCCCGGTGTGAAAAATTATCCATCAAAATTCACCACACCCATCAAACCACAACCCCATCTAGACCCGGTCAGGTCAGGTCAGGTCAGAACAAGTCAGCTCGTACCCCAAGCGCAATCGGTACCTACCTACCTACAGTCTGTACCTCGTGTACCTACTAGGTAGTATCCTATCCTATCCTATCCCATCCCATACTATCCGATCCGTGGCTGAAAATCCCACGAGGTAGGTAGCTCGTAGGTAGGTAACCTTAAACGACAGTACTGTACCTCGCCACGCCTTCACATAACCATCCCATCCCATCCCATCCCATCCAATCCACATGGATCCATAAGCCAAAACGCCGCAAAATTCAAACGCGTATCGGTATTTCGCAATTGACTTTTTCATCGATATATGGTGATGTAATATCATACCATGATGTACCTATCGTACAACTACCTACTCACGTACCTACATACCCAGCTACATCATCTCCATCCCTATAGAATACCTTTTCATATATGACATTCAGAATCCTATTGTATTCCGAATAATGACACGATAGATAATATACATATTCTATCTTACTTACGGCTCTCCTCTATTCTACTCTGTAGCTCACATCACATCACATCATATCATATCACCATTACTATAACTATAACTATAACTCTATAACTCACTAATCATCATATTATATTAATACTACTTACCCACCTAGGTAGGCATCACCAGTTTGTCAGTCAGTCCATCAATCAATCATTCAACCGTCAATCAATCCATCGTCAATCATTCATTTCAGGGGTTAAGCGCTCTCCTAACCAGACGGTATAATTCCAGCCAGCCAGCCAGCTACGTAATTCAAATCCAACCCCATCCCCTCCCCCCTCAACATTCTAGAAGCAAAAATAGAAAATCTGAAAATAAAATAAAAATCCCGTAAAGAGGTGGAAATATAAGACACATTCATATTCATTCATACTCCACTTCCACTTCCAATTCATTATCTCCTCCGTAAATAACTATCGGATGCATCGTTCCGTTCCGTTTCGGTTCGTTTATATTAATATTATACCTTACTTATATTATTGTTTATCGTTAATACCTACTATTCTCCTATCTATAACTACTAGATATAATATATCGTATAATATATATCTATTTATTTACTTTATATTATATCTCTATCTTAATCCTAATTATTTATTAAAGAATTAAAGAATTAAAGAATTAAAGAATTAAAGAATTAAAGAATTAAAGAATTAAAGAATTAAAGAATTAAAGAATTAAAGAATTAAAGAATTAAAGAATTAAAGAATTAAAGAATTAAAGAATCAAAGAATCAAAGAATTAAAGAATTTAATATTTTACTATATATTACTTACTACGATATGAGTATACTCTGTATAGTATATAATTATAAATAGAGAACGTAATGTCAATTTTTAAACTTTTAATTTTTTTTAAATCTCTCTCTCTCTCTCTCTCTCTCTCTAGATTCTAGAACCCCTCTCCCCTCCTCACCTCACCTCACCTCTATAATCAGCATCATCATAGGTATATAATAACCATCATCATCATCATCCCCATCCCCATCCCATAACCACAACCTCTAACATTCCGAAACATAACCCGAAAAATTTCAACTCATATTTCTCACTTCCCTCTTCCCATCTCATCTCATTTCATTTCATTTCACCTCTCCCAAACACCCACTCACCCATCCAACAATTCCCAACCCTCACCCAAATATCCCAAATTCCAATATCCCTATCCCAATCCCAATCCCAAAATCTCCAATTTTCATTTCACCCCCTCTCTCTAATTATCCATCCAATCATCCATCCATCCATCCATCCATCCATCCACCATCCATCCATCTTCTAGAAGCAATTAATAAATTAATTTCCGATCCCATCACAATCACATCAGTCACATCACATCAATCACATCAATCACATCACATCACATTACGGAGTACAATTACATAGACTCATAGAGTACTCGAGTAGTGGCATGTAAGTAATGTACATCGTAATTCTAGAATGGATATGGTTGATATCTACTGTACTACGTATACGTATTCTGTATTCCGTATGCTGGAATATTCACATCATACTTATTTTCAACTCATACATACCATAAAATACATAAATCCCATTCCAAAAATCATCTCACACCTACACCTCACCTCACCTACACCTTACCTTACCTCACCCACTTACCCAAAATCAAATCCATAACCAAATCCAAATCCAAATCCATAACCTCACTCCTATCCTAATCTCTAAAATGACAATTCGCAACATGATTCACAATAATTTAAATCCAACATCGATACACAGATGAGAATGGGTCATGATCTTAAAAACTCTGATGGGGAGCCGATAATTTCCCCTGAATGTCGACATGTGCACGGCTAGAAATTTAAACTATGTACATTGGGATTTGCATTTGATTTGATGGAATTTGACCCTTCCCCCTGAGCCTGGGGCAAATCACATCCAAATCTGAGAAATTTAAACGGTTATCGGTCAACGGTCAACGGTCAACGCAATCATTTTTGATGGTTCTTAATCTGACAGCGCTTGTATCGGTACTTTGACCCTATGATTCCTTGACTGACGGGAATCCCGAGAGATGAGATGAAATGAGGGGAAATTTCGAAATTTAATATCCAACTAGGAAAATCCTTATTGAGATGTTCTAGAAATTATTAGGAAAATGTTTGGGAGAGAGGAAAAAAACTTAAGAAATATCGCACTCCTTGTGTTCGCCTTCAACATCATCTTCTCCTTCTATCAAAACACGATGTCCATCGACATTCTTCTCTACTTCAGCTATTAAGCTTTCCAAGTATTCTTGATCCCTGTTAAATTGTCAGCGATGGAGCAAAAGGATGGTCATTGACACTCAAGTGATATTTACCTTCCAACTAAAGTAACGGTATTGTGTGCTTTTCCCCATCTGGGATAACTTCCAACCTTGATACCCTTTGGTTCTACTTTGGCAGCCAATTCTGTCAGATATGGTGCTACAGCACTCTCTGACATGGGAGTCGAAATCATCACTCGACAGATACCCTTGCCTTCAGGATCTGTCAACCGAGGAAGTAAAAATGGTTTCAATCCCTCCAACAATCTTTCGAAAAGTCTTGGGATACCAGGTAAGATGTGAATATTGCCATTGATGCAAGCAACTGGAACCCAAAGATCTTCACATGGGAATATAACTTGCTTTGACAAATCCCGAGATTCATCTAATGGCAATTCCACCATGCGAAGTTTAGCTTTCTTCGCGGGAGAATCTTCATCCCAATTGAAGTTTGGTTGAGATGGATGAGGTTTGGATAATCTCTTCATCTTTTCATAAGTTTCTTGATGAAGCTTCAATTCGAGTCCAAATGCTCTTCCAATGGATTGATAAGTGATATCATCGTGTCTACATTTTGTTAGTTGGGGTATATGTATATTTCGATATGCGTTCAAAACGCACGTTGGACCAATTCCTCCAGATGTGACTATAAAATCATAGTTGTTTGACATACGTCTAACCGCTTCAATGATTTCATCCTCATCATCTGCAATAACCTCGATACGCTTTAGATTCTATTCAAGAGTCAAAATCTCCTCCTTCAGTATGCATTCTTTGGATAGGTATCCTACTATTCCATGCTTGAAACAAAACTTTGCAAAATAAGCCGAATTTGTCTGCCAATGCTATCAATATCTAAATTTTCTTCCTCATTTATATTTCAAACGTACATCGACCGTCTGTATAGGAGCACATATATATTAGCCATGATGCCCTTGAAATCCTCAATAGAATAAACTCCCAATCATCACTGACCTTTCCCCCGAGTACTTCATCTCCAATAATCAAACATGCTGCCGTGTGAATGGTTCTCGAGTTACGTTCGTCGGCAGATACTGATGATGTCATGACTTTATTTGAAAATGTATATGCAGCGGCAGAATTGTGAGCGTAATTTGGTAAGGGACGAGAAAGATGTCTGGCTAATTGAGAGAAGCGGGAGAACATGGATGATGGAAATATATGTAGTGAGAAGAGGAGAGGGGGAGAAGAAGAAGAGAGATCTTTGTAACAATCAATGGGGTTATGTATTGAAGTGGGGTTGGTTGATCGTGAGTGAGGTTTTAGTGATTGAGTGGAATGGAGCTTCAGAGGGAGAGGGGTGTTTTGAACTTTGGAGGTTACGCCAGGGTTGGATTTATTTGGCGGGGTTATCCGCGTGGATTACGAGTACGACGAGTATGGTATGGTACTACCGGTGCTACCGGTGATGCGATACTTTGGAGGGGATACGAACAGATCAATGGCATGTTGAAAAGATTCCGATGTCATATCATATGTCAGCTATCAGTTATTTGGGTAGGTTAGAAGGATTATAAATATAGGAAAGGGACCCGGAAATATCATAGAGTTGGATCTTCTTTCATGAAGCTCTTTCATCTTCTCTTCAATTATCACTTATATATCTTTCTTATCGTGGATGAGAATGCTGATAAATCAGAATGGCAAGACATTCCTGTGAGTATTATGATATTATGATATTAACTTCAATATTCATTGTCTATAATGACTATGATGACTGAATCCAGATATCTAATCTAGTCAACGGAATTCAAATGGTTCTTTGAGAGATCTTGATGATAGTCTGGTTGGGATTGAGTCAATATGTACTCTATTCTCTATTTTCCATTCTCTCTCAAACCTCTATCCTCCATTCTTCATGCTCTATCCTCTATTCTCTATACTCTATACTCTACACACACTTTTCTCCATCTCCCAAAATTCCCTTCACCTACCTCCCTACCTACTCTGTACACAGACACCTTCACATTCAAGACGAAAGATTATGCTCAAACACATCCAATCTCCGTCGGATGCTCGGATTCTTCCAATTTTCCGCCTTTATCGTTAAAAAATGACAACATCAGCCTTGGTGAACGGACGAATAACGGAAGATAGTATGGAAAATCCATGAAATATTCAAATTTTCTCTTTTTTCGACCTTTTTATTCACATCAGATTATATATCGGAACGGCTTTATTATCTCCAAGACAATCTCTTCACTCTATCTAACTCGGAGTTTAGACGTTGAATTGGATTAGTCATAGGCAAAAAAAAAGTTTGTTTTCTTACCAACAAGTGAACATCAATTATCGATTACCCATATCACATATTGGTATGACGAGACGTCCGACGGACCCGCTCAAAAAGCCGAATCCTATACATTGAGCTGTTACTCGTAAACAAAATATAATACTTTTTCTTTTGCTCAAGTCTTTACTGCTTACTATTTCTAACTTTGATTCCTCTACTCTTCTTCGATTTTTGGGGAAACTTTCTTGAATATCTCATCAATTATGTCTTCAGGACCGGCTCATAGAGTTCAGTCAGCAGTGGTCGAGTATGGATTTCCTCAAGGGCATCTCGGTCATCTTACAACAGAGGAAGAGGCGGCTTTGAATAACTTCAAGGTTGTTTGCGCAGAGAAGGGTTTGTACAAGCCTGGAAATGGAAGTGATGAACCTGCATCGCACGAAGATGCTACCCTTCTGTATGTATCCGTTCAAGATTCTTTCCTAAGCGCCTACTGATGATTACCTTAGGCGATTTCTCCGAGCGCGCCGGTTTATTGTACTGGATGCCCTTAAACAATTTTCAGAGACAGAAGAATGGCGAAAAGAGAATGAATTAGATCAATTGTATGAGACTATCGATTTGGAACATTACGAAGAGACTCGCAGACTTGTAAAGTCCCCCCATTCTCTACATTCATTGACACCCCTCCTAATTATCTCGATATAGTACCCACAATGGACAGGACGACGCGATCGACGTGGTATTCCTGTATACGTATTCGAAGTATCATATTTGACTGGTAAACGAATGTCTGCATATGAGAAATCCGCCGTCGATACACATACGAAAACCAAACAAGATGGCAAAACCTCTGGAAAGTTATTGCGCTTATTCGCTTTATACGAAAACCTTACACGATTTGTTATGCCATTATGTACAGTTCTTACCGATCGAGATCATCCTCGAACACCCATCACACAAAGTAATAATATTGTTGATATTTCTGGAGTTGGATTGAAACAATTTTGGAATTTGAGAGGGCATATGCAAGATGCAAGTACTTTGGCTACAGCTCATTATCCAGAAACTCTTGACCGCATTTTTGTAAGTTGTATATGAGTTGGAATATTGGAAACTCACTAACTTTGTATCCTCAGATTATTGGTGCACCAAGTTTCTTTCCAACAGTTTGGGGTTGGATTAAAAAATGGTTTGATCCAATTACCACATCCAAAATCTTCATTATCAGTCACAACGATGTCAAGTCAACTTTAGAAGCCTTTATCGAGCCTAGAAATATTCCCAAGAAATATGGCGGTGAATTAGAATTCGAATTTGGAGATATGCCTACGTTGGATCCGGCATTAGAAGCAGTTACCACTTGGAATGGAGCTGGCTCATTTCCAGGAGGGCCCATGTATTGGGTCAATACCAAAGATCAAGAATCGATTCAAGCCATCGCAGTTGGAAGTAGTGAAAAGAAGGAGAGAAGAGAAGAAGTTTGCACTATTAAGAAAACTATCAAGGATAATGATAATATGGGAACAATCGCTACAGATGCAACCACCGAAACTCCATTACCCGTTCAATCAGAAACACTCGAAGTACCCGGCGCAACCCCCGCCGTCATAAATACTACCGCCGGGACCAATTCTCCTCTGAATCAAGGAATTCCAATAGATGATCTCGCGATTGAAAATGGTGAAGTAGTCTCTAATTCAAGACCTGAATTAGAAACCTTTCACACAGCTCAAGATGGATTAAACAATTTATCCATTACCAGTCCCCCAGCAGACGAGGTTCTCGTAAATGGAACAACAGAATCTCCTCACACCACAACAACAGCAAATCAATTAGATCCAAATCTTAACCATGATGGAGCTGGAGCCGAACCAGTAGTAGCAGCGGGAGAATTATCAAAAGCGACAACTCAACAGGAAAGTATTCATGATGAGGTACCAGCCTTACCTATGTCTCCTGTAGCGGGTTCCGTGGCTGGTGGTTCTGAAACTTCGAGTACGCCTGGTGTGAGTGATAAAAAGGATAAGAGGAAGAGTCTTTTGGGGGGGTTGAAGGGGAAATTAACAGGTCATCATTGAGGTGATATTTGAGCAGTGAGGGTTTGGAGTGAGGGTTTGGAGTGAGGGTTTGGAGTGAGGGTTTGGAGTGAGGGTTTGGAGTGAGGGTTTGGAGTGAGGGTTTGGAGTGAGGGTTTGGAGTGAGGGTTTGGAGTGAGGGGTAAAATAGGTGGCGAGGGAAAAGGGGGGTTGTTTCAAACAGCATGATGGGATTTGAGAGTGTAGAATTTATGAGATGGAATAGGATGGATGGGATGGATGGAGATGATGAGACCATATGAGATGAGATGAGATACACACGGAAAGTAGATACCTAATACCTAATACTTACACGTACGTACGTGGTTTGGAGTTGGGAGAATATATTATTGTTATTGTTACTCATGTTGGTGGTTGGTGGATGATGGGTTGGCACGTGTGGTGAAGAAGTACAAGAAAAGAATAAAGTACCAGCGCGTTTTATTTGGGATTGGACAGAGATAAAGAGGGAGCAGAGAAGAGAGAGAAGAGAAGAGCAGAGCATTATATACACAGCTCAGCTTAGCTTAGCTTAGCTTAGCTTACCTTAGCACAGAGCGTTGAATAGGTACCTATTATATACATTACTTATGGGATTACATTACATACACGGATTTGGAGGGGAAAGGACAAAGAATTATGGATTATCATATATCATATTTTGGCTATTCATGAGTTGTGATTTTCTAATTTTATTATTTGATATTGTGATGTGATGTGATGTGATATGCTGTAGTGGTATTGTCGTGGTATTGTCGTGATTGCATTTTTGATCGCTTGCGTGATATGGTTTGGTTTGGTTCGTTGTAATTCTGTACTTCGTGAAATCATAATACTTACCATTTGCCTTCCCTTCCTTCCCCTCCATCCTTTATCTTCTATCTCATCAACCATGGCCGGTCCTTCCCTTTCATCCTATTACCTTTCCCTTCGATACCTTGACTTAGGTCTTTTCTCTCTCTCTCATCATAATCACATAAAATCTCCATCCCCATACCTCATAAATGGATTGGGTGGTCTTCCACCTCCACCTCTTTGAGGTCCATCACCCGGTCCTAAAGGATCATATCTTGCACCTGGCGGAGCTTGCGGGTTGAATACTCCTCTACCACCCCCTAATCTCTGTCCTTGTCCTGCAAATAGAGGATCATCAAATGTAGGATGCATACCTCCCACTTCACCTAATCCTCGAGCGCCTGCCCCACCTGTAAAAGAACCGGGGAAAGGATCGTTGGGTCCTAGACCTGCAGGATTTAAATCATCGTGACCAATATTGAAAGGGGAAATCGTTCCCCGAGGATCAAAGCGTCGAAGACGATTCAGATCTAATTCATCATCGAAACCAGGAGGAGGGAAATCTCCGGCGGGGATGGGACGACGTGGTGGGTCGGCAAGGGGATCATTATATGGATATGGACGAGCTGGTTCTGGAAGACGTGGATCTGTTGTGGGAGTTGGTAAAGGATTTCGTCGAGCTTGTGTTTCTTCTCTTTCGTCATGAACCCGGGATGCTTCACCTGCGCCCTCACCCGCACCTTGTTGAGAATCTTCGTATCCTTCTTTCTGTAAAGATGGAATGAGTCTTTGGATGATACTTATTTTGAAGAGGGAAGCGAGATCTGCGATTCTGGGAGGAGAGACGAAAATTTCTTTGAGCCTTGATTTGAGATTTGAACGATCTTCTTGGTCGTTTGTGAAAGGAATTCGTAAAGGGAGCGCAGACGTGGAAACGTAATCTCTGGCTGTAATTTCGAGGCGGGTAATTTTCTCATCTCCGAGTCCTATTCCTCGGATTTCAGCCTTGCCACCTAGTCGATCGATTTTGACGACGTAATTCATAGAGGATTGGGAGTGAGCGTAGAGGAATGAATGGGATCCAAAGGAAGAATTCCATTTCGAAGATAATCTGGGAGCAAGTTGTGCGCATTCGGTTTCTGGCAGGTTTGTTAACGTTTGTACTTTGAATAAGGACTTAAACTGGAAGACCAACTATTCTCTTGACCTTCTGCAAATCCGATGAGTCGAAATCCGACTGCGATCATACATGCGTGAGAGAATAGGGCGATGGCTTCGTATGAACTGCTGATATCGGAATCGGTATCGTCTTTTTGATGAGTAGGTAAAGCTTCTGCCATATGATGCAGAATGGAATCTGGACTGAGTGGATTATTTGCCATTTTGGCGGATGAGGTTGGATTGTTTGTCTGTGATTATTTTGATGAATGTCGATGTATTGATATCTCTTGATATTGACGATCTGCGGTGAAGTAGAGCGATGTGATATGTATGATGTATTCAAACTTTGAAGTGAAGAGTGATAAAAAGTCGTACAAATGAATTTAATTGTACGATATGAGGAAACCAACGGAATGCGGGGGTGCATGGCGAAGTCAAGCTACTGCCTGAAGCTATCAACCCATGTTATGTTTAGTGACGTTTGGGTGGCGGCATACCCCGTCAAAGTCCGCTTTATACCATAGCGCAGCCTTCTCAAGCCTCAGGGTCACCAAAATACCCAAAATACCCCTGCAATTATTTTGGTAGCTCTAGCTAAATGGAACGAACTACTTCGTACTCTGTACAGGGCCTAGAACATGTAAAAACTTCAACGCGCCAGTAACATCTTTATACAACTTTATTCCATGGCTTTCAATTGCATCAAATAATCTTCGTATCGTTATTCAATACATCTCTACACAGGATGGAATCAACTGAGTCTCTTTTTGAGGGACAGAAATTGGTGAAGTTACCAACGATCGTTCACGATGACCCCTTTGTCAAAGTGGTAAAGACTTTATCAATGTATTTACTCTGAAACTTGGCATGCTATGATATCCATCTAACGTGTACTGCTCTACTAGATACTTTGTCGATGAAATTGTCCTTCCTTCAACCTTTGAACAATTACGAACTACATCTGCGGGCAATAAAATTCGAATACTTGTTGAGCATCTCGTCGAAAATGTTACGAATCCCGCCATTATCAATGCAATCTTGTCAGTAGCACATCGTTATTCATCACGAATCCAGTAATAATTGAGATTATACAGAACCCTCAAGTGGCATTTTTCTACTCTCGATGTAGATGATGATCGCGGAATCAATGAAACTCGAGCGAGCGCATGTGAAATAGTGGCATGGAGATTTCTAAGTCGTGTATCGGAAAGAGATGCTGTCGATTTTTGCTTATACGAATTACCTTCACCTACTCTTCAACGATCAACCGATGGTACAGCAGAAGAACCAGAGGAAAGTCAAGCTACGGAACATTCGACTTTATTGCCACAATTCAGAGAAAGGGATTCTCCTCCTGGTACAAGGCCACCTAGTCAGAATAAAAAGACTGAACTCTTACGGTCTATTTCACATATGGGGTCATTCTTTACTCATGATGATATGGATGATGATGAGGATGATCCAACATCTTCTTTCACAGGATTGAATGCTCTTGAAATTGGTGTAGTAGCTGATTGCAAAAAGTTTTTAAGCCAGAGAATTGTACAAAAAATTATAACTGGTATTTGGAAAGGAGATATAACATTTTGGGAAAGTTTGAGTGAGCATACTCAAAAGAAAGCTCAATTTTATAATAGGAAGAAGTCCGATCCTTTTTCGAGATTGAGAGTACCAAGATATATCAAAGCTTTTGAAGTTTTGTTCTTTGCTTCTTTCTTATTTCTATACTATGCAGTTCTTGTTGAACGGAATCCGTAAGTCATTCTGTGTTTTGTCATTCTTTCTTTTGTCATTCTGTCTTTTCTCATTCTGTCATTCTATCCTATCCGCCCCTCCAATGTCTAACATCTTTTCAGATATTACATTACGCCCCTTGAAATTGTTCTCTATGTATGGTTTGCTGCTTTTGCTTATGATGAGCTTGGAGAGTTCATAGATGCGGGCTCGATATTCTATGCAGTTGATATATGGAATTCTTGTGATTTGATGATTATCTTAATAGGAGCTGCTTTCCTACTCACTCGTTAGTACTCCTTGTTTTAATACCTGAACATTTCTAACGTTACCTAGGTGTCATTGGTTTGACGAAGGATGATGGGATTATTATCGATATGGCTTTTGACATTCTGTCCCTAGAGGCATTGTTTTTATTTCCAAGGTGAGTTCGTGATATTTCATTCAGAAACAGGACCAATCTTAAAGGTCGAGTGTCTTCCTGGCTTTTGTCAGACCTTACGTGCCAGGTGAGGGCTCTGGTATACGTGATAGGAAAATGCCGGTATTTGGTTTAGCGCCTCGTTTATATTCTACGCTAAACCCAATCTCGGCTATTACTGTCACGTGTGCCAGATTTCTAGATTGATACAGGACTAACATTACTTCAGAATATGTTCACTTCTTAGTCTCCATCCATATTTTGGAACTTTGATTCCTTGTTTAAAGGCCATGGCCACAGAATTCATTAAATTTATGGTTGTCGTCCTGGTCCTTTACCTCGGTTTCCTAACAACCTTTACCCTCCTGGCCCGCGATTCATTTACCTTGGGCGAAATGTCTTGGGTTCTTCTCAAAGTATTTTTCGGATCTTCATACCTTGGTTTTGATATAATGAACCAAATCTCACCCCAATTCGGTCCTCCGCTCATGATTATTTTCGTTATCCTAACCCAGATTCTATTGATTACCTCCTTAATATCAATATTGTCTGACAGCTTTTCAAGAGTTATATCACACGCCAAAGAAGAATATCTCTTTGTATATTCTGTATACGTACTTGAATCCTCAACCTCTAATCGACTTACACACTTTTACCCACCACTCAATCTCATCCCTCTCATTCTCATCCGACCACTTAGACTCTTCATGAGTTCTTCTACATTGCGTAGAATTCGAATAGGGCTACTAAAAGCAACACATGCTCCAATTGTACTCGCAATTAAGATTTTCGAAGGTGTTAATGAACATATACAAGATCCATCATCTTTCCCACGCACACCAATTGCTACAGTACCATCTACACCTCATAGCGGAGCTGGTGGAATGACAAGTATGAGTGGAGAACCAGCATATAAAGGAAAAGCGAAGAAGAAATTCTTGACAAGTAGGACGGGTACAAATCATTCATTGCATTTTATGGATGGACCGGGTATTGGAGATGGAGAGGCGAGTCCACTTGTTGGTGGAAAGTGGGAGGGAGGTATTAGGGGGAGAAATGAAGGATGTCCTTCTGATGTGGGTAATTGTGGACGTGCGAATGGAAAAGGAAATGGAAAATTCAATAAGAAATTGACATTCGAGGGAGAAGATAGTGGATTAGGAGGAGAGGATGATGATACAGCACGAAGAATACAAAGGACAGAAGAAGAGAGGACAAGCGAGAGAGAAAGAAGATTAGAAAATAAAGTTGATGAATTGGGAAAGAGGATAGAGGAATTAACAAGATTGTTTATGGCGGATAAGGGATTGGGTGGGGATGATGAGATGTAAATAGATAGATGGATGAATACAGAGGTCAATATGGTGGTCGGTTCTGAGTAGGGTGGGGAGGGAGAGAGACTGACTAACTCTTTCCTTAAAATATTCATGGATAATAATATAAATGAATGTAAGATTACATTAAGTGATGTTTTTCGTCAATGGAAATTTGAGTTTCTGGAATAACAGTTATACCCGCAAACAGGAAAATCTCGAGCGTAGCGAGCTACGGGGGTTTGGGGGCTGGCCCCCATTCAATAGCATGAAAAATACATATTTTTTGCTCTTAGTATGCTATTTGAACCATTCATATATACTTAAGCATATACAACATCTTTACAAGAAGCACAAGCCCACATACCCGACCTATAACCAAGATGTCTAATCTCACACCCATTACATTTCAACAAACCTTTTCTAGACAACCAATTCTTCACAGCTAGAGCTCTTTCCGTCACATCCCTAATAGCTTCATCCCGATGAGTATTACATAACCAAGATTTTCTCATCTGAGATGTACATGTACAGTATTCTTTCTTGAAAGCTGCACCTACCTTCCCCCCTCTTGTTCGTGGTCTTTGTTCAGCCGCACACACGTCACAATAATACAATTTGGTGTATTCAATCAGTGTTGATTGGGAATCTGACACTCGAACATTTTGATCTTTGTGACAAGGTACACAAGTATGCCAATCACCTCCTTCAATACCATGTTGAAGATAATCGCAATGTTTTGCTGGAGATTTGAAACAAATATCGACTCCGATAAGTTCATCGCAATGTTTATTTTTAAGAATTCCTTTCAAATCTTGTTTCCATTCTTGACGATAATCGGATAGAGGACGAATTTGAAGTCTCGGGTCGGGATCTGGTTTTTCTTGAACAACTACTTCGAATCCAGATCGATGTTCTTCGACTGAATTGAGAACATCATCTAAATCAAGCATTTCTACATCAGGATTTTCAACACTATATTGAGGTGAAATCCTAGGTGTACTGAAATCGATTCCTTCTCCATCAAAAGTCATAGCAGCATAATGTGCCACATCCCCAAATGGTTCGGATAAAAATTCTGGTCCTCCTGGCGCAAGACTATTATATGATGCATCTGGTTCCGTGACTGTAGCGACACGATTATATGATGGACCATCTGGATCGGGTTTATATGGTTCCATAGCAGGAATGTCATTTTCTGCATTTTGCGAGAAAAAACTATTTTGATGTCCAGCTTCGAATGAATCCATGATGACTTGTGAACTGTAATTCATCATAGGTCCCAAATCCATATCTTTAATCGCTTGATCTGCTTCTTCGAAATTCGAAGCTAGTTTATCCCATTCAGTATTAACATCATTATATCCTCTTTCCGGTACCGAAAGATCTAAATCCTCATCATCATCAGCACGTTGTAAAGTACCTCTTGCTCCTTGATAATCCCGTTCTCTGTATTTTGAAAAGTCAGAGACAGGATTACACATATCGACTGTTCCATTAAGTTTACACGTTCCACAAGGACGTTCTCCATCACAAGGACGAGATTGATCTTTACAAGGCTCACATTGAATACTAGGAGCATTTCCCACTTCGGGACTGGCACTTCGACGTCGACGGCTTGAAAAAGTACGTCTTCTCGATCTTTGATTAAATGCAGCTCTCTTCTTTCGGGAAAGACTAGCTTTCTGTTGAGCCGTAATTGGTTCTCCATCATCTTCATCTTCATCTTCATCTTCATCCATCGCTGAATCCGAAAATTCATCCGGATCACCCACTTTTTTGGGACCGGGTTTCTGTGGTTTCAATTTCCATGCCGGTTTGGGTGCATTGGGATCTTCCAAATCCCGAGTTATCTCGCACACTATCCCGCGTTGCTTACAGCGATCACAAGGTCGAGGTGATCCTACTACTAATGTACATGGTTTTCTCATGTGTGTACAATATAAACAACGTTTGGCTGTTCGTGCGAGTCCTGATCGTTGAGCTGTATATTCTCCTGGAGCTCCACCTGCAGTTCCACCGGTAGTTCCACTTGCAGGTTTGCCAGCAGGGCTAGCCCGAGGTATTTTACATTCTGCTCCACTACTTCTACAGCGATCACAAGGTTGAGCTGATCCTCCTACTAAAGAACACAATTGTCTCATATGTTGACAACGTAAACAGCGTTTGGGTTTAGGACCAGGAGCTGCAAGCGCACCAGTTCTATCTCTAGGAGGCATAGCTGGAAGATCTTCATCACTACTATCCTCTGGTAATTCCGGTGTTACAGGTCTTGGTTGATGATCTCTCTCGGCAATGCGTCTCGCAATTAATAAAGCCGTCTTTCTGCTCTTAGCATTTTCCAATTGTCGACATGCCTTTTCAGCTCGATATTGCGTCGCATATTCTGGATCGAAATTTTTATGTGTATGATCCATTTTATTCTTATGAATCTCCTTATCTTTTTCCCATTGTATTTTTACTTTTCGACGAGCAGCCGTTCGAGCTTTAAGCTGTGCCGGAGTATCACCCGCTAGTTTTGCAGTCGTAGGAAATGAAAATGGACGTCTTCTTAATTCTGAAGATTCGATCCCAATTGCCTTTCGAGACGTTAAAACTCGAGCTCGCCATGCCGTCATGGATTCCCAGGGTTGTTTGGGTCGTTCATCTATCGCTTCGATATTGGCGGCGATTTCAGTTAACCAGGGGGAATAAGTACCGGTTTCGAGTTGTTCGACGATGAAGGGATCAAAATCTCCATCTGGTCCAGGGGAATAGGCTCGTGTATCTTTCCAGGTTAGTGGGCCAGGTGGTCGTTTGAGCCCTTGCTGTTCCCATACCGTGCCTCCCGGTGGTAATGGAAGATACAATTGTTGATATGTGGGACCTTTTGGGATCCTTGGGGCATGTATACCTTGTCCATAAGTTGCATTCTGTATATCGTTTTGAGGGTTTTGCTGTTGTGGTTGCTGGAATTGTTGATATCCTGCCTGGGGAAAATACGGCCCAGAAGCCATAGAAGCTCCCATCTGACCTCCATAGCTTGGATTCTGCGGCATGATCCTCTGAAGTCCTCTTTGTTCTTGCATCGTCGGTGGATTTCCACTCCTCCAATCTCTTGCTTCACTCTCAAAAACTTGACTCAATGGAACAGACGTTGGTTGAGGTCCTTGCCAATGTATTTCCCTCTGCGGAATAACTGGTTGTTGTACCACGGGTGCCATCGCATCCATTCCCCCAATAAGATCCCATGGATCAATAGTTGCTTCCACAAGCTGATCCTGATCCGGTACATTAAGCCATGGAGATCGATATTCCTCTTCCATATGTTGGAATTGATTACTCGAACCACCAGTCAAGGGATCCCGTCCCGTTCTCCATGCAGCTAAATTATCTTGTTCCCATGGAGGTCTCCCACCGCGCCAACCTCCAGCGGGAGTAAACATGGGAGTCTCCGAGCGGAAATTATGTTCGGGTCGGCCCAAAACATTTTCGAGTCCGGGATTGAGAGGATGACCAGGGGGGTGTGGATCGGGACCTGGTGGAACTACACCGTGACCACCTTGACCTCCACCTCGACCTCCACCTCGACCTCCACCACGACCTCCACCTCGACCGGCGCCTTGTCCTCGACCTTGACCATAGCCAGTCATATCTGATTGAAATTGACCGTAAAAATAGGGATGATTAAAAATAAAGTGACAATGGGATTATAATTGAAGCGCGAGTTATTGAACAGGATATGACAGATAGATAATCATATAATAGGAGAAATTAATTCGAACAGTGACGTGAATCCTGAGCTTGAACGTGCGCTATTCCTTGAGCTTGAGCTTTCTTTGCACGACTGGAATCGAAATTCGAACATCTTGTTTGTACGAATGATTAAGAGCGCGAGTTATACGATTAAATTTTCTTTGTGGATGGATAAAGAGGTGATGGAGGGGATTGTTTAGAGATGAGAATTTGAATATGTGATAAAGGGGTAGGAATTGGAGTTGAAGAGTTGTGAAGATTGAGGAGAAAATCCTTTGTGGAGGAGGTGAGGATTGGCTGTTTGCGGAGGGGGAATTATTAAGCGAGGGGGATAAAGGAGTTTTTGAGATGATTGGGAGAGGGACATTATGATTCATGTATATATATTCTAATGAGTTGAATCTCCGTATTAAATTAAATATAGATGAATATTCCTATTTTTAATCTCTACCTATTCAAGAATAAATTCTAATAAGTATTTGAAGTAAGATCTTATTGAATACTAATTGATTTGCCGTTAAAGATACTAGCATTCGGTAATTAAAACTAACATTCGATAATTAAAATTAGTATTCGATAATTAATAAACCAAAAAACAAAAAACCATAAAGGAAGATAAACTTAAGAATACTTCGAATTAATAGATAATCTATAAATGAGAGTAAATAAAAGAAATTGTGTCCCAAAATTGACTTTATAATGAACCGAGTATAACAGTCGAAACTCCAAATTAGCCCTTGGAAAATATATCACGCATATAAAAACTTACCATACCAGTATACAATATAATACACACGAAATACGAATCAATTGATTAATTTCAATATCAGAGAAAAAATTGTATTCATACAAGCCGATAACTCTAAATAAATTCCATCATGTCATCATTAACTGACAGATCAAGTAAACCTCAATCAAACCCCATAAACTCCCATCCTAGTCACTACCCTATATGACACGCTCAAATAGATCCCAGAAAAGAAAGAAGAAGAGAAAGAAAAAGAAAAGGATCACGAGATCCTTATACGCTTGTAAATCTAATATTTTCAATCCCTACGACTCATTCGTCTCCCACCAAATGATAATGAAGTAGGACTAGTAGGTGTATTAGATCTTACTGTAGGTGGAAGACCCAATTTGACTTCCCCTACCCGTCTTAAAAGTCCTTGTAACGCCAATCTAATTTCCACTCCCATATCCCTAGAAAGTAAATCCACTGCTAATGGATAGAATACTTCAACATACTTCTCGAATCCTTCTCGTGGGAAATTCATGTAACCTTCCAACACATCTACGACAACTGGTCTCCAAGCAATGATATTTCTTTGTTGACTTTCTTCTTCAAGTTGAGTAAAACCACGGATGATATCGGCACAAAGAGGTACTAAAGCTTGTTCTGTATCTGCTCGATTTCTTTTTCGCTCTTCACCTTCGTCATGGTACATTCTAAGAAGAATAGAAACATATGTAGCTGCACTACCGGATTCTTGCTTCAACAAGTTAGGTGGTTGTTTCATGAATCCTTCACGCCATAAACGCATGCGTAATTCTTTGTTCTCATTAAATCTTTTGGCGAATAAGAAAGATTTCTTGAGGAGAGCCATTAACCTAAGAAGTTCCGGACTAGGAATTTGAGCATAAACGGTATCGTTGGAAAAAAGCTCATTGACAGTTTCGATCATCAAAAGTTGTAAAACACATTTGGTAATAATTTTATTGAAAAAGCGTCGACGAGCTGCCGTGACAACCACAGGTTGTTGTTGTAGACCTGATTGTGGTTTGTAGTCCTCTAACTCTGGAGTTTGAGTTACAACAGGTGTCTGACCTTCTGGTTCAGCAATACTTTCTGCATCCGAGGTTGCACCACCATTTGTACCATTGATCTTTAGAGATTGACCATCATCAATATCTTCAACTGGTGCTGTGGAGCTCTCCATAGAACCTCCTGCGGCAGATGATGTTGCAGCAGTGAATAATTGGAATGCAGTTGTTCTATCGAATAACTCTACAAATGCTCCAACTATTTTGGACCAATGTTGAGGCTTGAATTTTGTGACATTTTGCAAAATTAATTGCTGTAAACAATTACTACCAATTCGAGCAATTGTATCATTCTCTTGACATATGCACAAAGCAAGTAAATCGAGGAATCTATCCAACATATATTCAAGCGATTCGAAATAATGAGTGAATAACGTGATCATGTTTCGAAGAGCTTGAATCATTGTAGTGGATAGCCACACAGATAATTCCTCATGATTGACAACATTGGACATCTCGGATTTGGATTTGAGAACCATAAAGATAGGATAGAGTAATTGTCTCCATAAGATGTCCCAGAAATCAGAAGGGAAATCACCTCCATATTTGATCAGTGAATCAAAAAGGTAATTTAAAGCATTCGAACGAACTTCCAAATCTTCCCCCGTCATGAGAACATCATGAAAAGCGAATAAAACAGGAAACCAAAATGCTTCTTCCTGAGTTGTACGACTTATAGGATTTGTGGCGGTATCTGGAGTTTTAATCGAACCATCCGAATTCGCGTTCGATTTGTGAGACAGTGGACATTCCGGTGTTTTTAACATCTTGGGGATGATTGATTTTAATGCTTCTATGGCTTGTAACCCCTTCTTTTGGAATTTCATATTCTTCGAAAACTCAGTTAAGCAAACAATCAAGTCTGCGAATGCGCCTTGGGAGATGACAACACCAAATCGAGTTTTGTAAACTTGATTGACATTTTCAAAGGCAAGATTGACGATACTCTCATATGGTTCTCGAGCTGCGACGGTAAATACTCCAAACATTGTTCTCCACCCAGAGCGAATATTCTCTCCACGAGCTTGGATCATTTGTATTAGACAACGCAAAGCCATATCCTTTACAGATACAACATTTGAGTTTGACATTACATGCTCGAAAGGTTTCAAGAAGTCTTTTTGGAATTTGAATCCAGGTAATTCTTCAATCTCCATAAATCGCATGGAAAGTTGACGCAAAGAATCCAAAGCAAAGAATACCACAGCGGTATTATTGTGACACCCAACTCGATTAAAGTGCTCACCTAGAACAGCCCAAATATTGGCCCATTCAAATCTCACACGAAGCATATTGTAGTAACTGATCTCCACAAGCTTTTGAAGACTGTATGTCCTTGGAGATTCATTGGAACCTGATATCTTAATCTCATCCCAACTGACATCACACAAAGCCGTGACAAAGTGGACAATGGCTTCACCAGAAAGATTGGCCGTATTTGTGAATATTCTATCCACTCCCTTGATAACTTCATCGGATCTACTTTCCATTGCGATTTCTGTTGAATAAATGGTACTTTGCGTGTTTGTCCTTGGACGAGTTCTAGGTCGTTGAGAAGCGGTAGATTTTCTTGACGAAGTGGTATCTGATCGTGATGGAGCTACGATTCGAGCTTTTGAAACGTCTGGAATAGCCCCTTCATCAACTCCGTCAGATATTAATTGTAAGCGATCCAATTGACTGATGCACATGAGAATATCTCGCCATGATCCTTTCAAGAGATTTCCTTCTGTTTGTGCTATTTCAAGAATAACTTTCAATGCTTCCACATTCTTTGCCATCATATCCTTGGGATTGTTGAGATTAGTGGAGTTCTTGAGAGCGGAAACGAAAGCTTCCCGTGGAGTTTCTAAATCAAAAAGACACGCAATACGAATTGCTAATTTCATTCCTTCGATGCATAATTTGATGATCTCAATATTGTGAGAGTTTTGCATTTGACCGGAAAGACCGGAGAAGAATGACATCCAAGTTACCTCAAACATTGGGCCGACATGCTTGAATGAAGTAGCAGGAATAAATTTATCCCCTGATTTCGATGCATTCTTTCGTTGATTTCGGAAAAGATTCTTGAATAATTGTTCGGATCGATGAGAGATCTCTTCAGATTGTTGTAAATATGCTTCACGCTGTAAGTCGCGTCCAACTGTAGCCAAAGCTTGTCCAAGACCTGCCGCAATACCACCAGTAGATTGTGGAGGAGCATTGCCAGTGGCTGCAGCGGCTTCGCGTTCACTATTGAGCACAATTTCTTCCTTTTGAATTTCTTCGTAGATGCCGATAAGGTACTCATCAGGTAAACTTGCATTATCGTTAATGCCACGATTATTCTTGATGAAATCTTCCTTGGTCATTCTCTTTGCAACTTTACTGCTGTGTTGATCTGTATTCAACATGATGACAGAGTAAGATAAAACGTAAGCAGTATCTGCATTAGCAAATGCATTTGGATTGCCAATGACATATCGATTTGCGAATTTCAACATGAAACGATCAATCTTTTGAGCTTCACCAGGAAGACGAAAGGATTGTAGAAATTGACGTAGAGCATCCACGAATCGACGTTTGGTGAAGTCCATTGCATCTACAAATGCGTGCATGATCGCAATGTTTCGTTCATCTCCTTCACCCAAAAACTCTCCGATTTGCGCCTTATCCAATCTATCCTCTCGCAGTAAAAATTGTGCAATACATTCTGGTGTATCTTCCGCTATGAATTTATCGGCGAGTAAAAGCTTGATGCCTTTCTTGGGTTTGAAGTTAAATTGCTTGATGGCATTTGTCATTGCGGTCTTTCTTTGCTTCTCCCTTTCCAATTGTTCCGGGTCATCATCCAAGACAGGCGTTGAAGGCATTGGTGTATTTTCACCAGTGATTCTTGTTGAGCTATCATTTCCAGGTTCCAAGGATTCCCTAACATCGGCGGAGCCTCTGATATCACTTTCTGGGCTACTGGTAACATCAGCAATTCCTTGCTGTGACCAATTCACCAGCGATCTAAGTGTCTCCACGAGACAATCCATAGCTTGTCGCTTCACAATGTACTCTTTTGGAATTTCGGTCTCTCCATTTTCGGTATGGCTACTCAAATGTGCTGTAGACAGGGGCGGGGGGAGCGTCCCTCGAGATTGCCAATCACCACCTGAGCTTTTACTGTTCTTCTCTTCATATTGCTGTTGGGCAAGAGGGCTTACCATAACAGCAGCACTCGCCGCTTTTGATAAGTCTTCAATCAAGGTCTGGAACATATTATCCACATTTCGATCGCAATCGTAATTCAAATATGTCTCAACGAGCGCACGAGGATCAGCGCAAAAGCGATGAAGGATGCCCATGAAGTGAAGTTTTTGAGTAACATGCGCGTTTCGTCTTTCTAGAAGAGCTAGATAAATCTCATTTAAGAAGACTTCAATCTCTTTCTGTTAGATAGTTAGTTAAAAGATCAGGACTGTCCATTCATGTATACAAACCTTGAAAGGAGCTCTCATAAATTTTAGCATCAACCAAAAAATTTCACAACAAATTTCGAAGACTTTATCAGCAGAGCTGGCGCCATTTCGAGTAATGCTAAGACATAGGTAAAATTTAATGGCTTGTAAAAAGCCGGTAGGCTCATTGCTCTTGCTGTTGGTAATCGTACATAATGGAGAAGTGAAGACGAGCATATTATTATTGAGTAACATGTGAATGAGGTGAAGAGAAATTAACTTTGAGCGCATGGCTTGGCCTTTTACATCGAATAATTGATCCGGTGGAAGGATTTTGGTGCTGAGATTGCAAAAGGACCTGAAAACCAAATATGCATCCCTTATATAAACCTCATCTTCCATATCCTCGGATTCTATACTATCATCAGTACCACTGTCCGGAGCGGTTTGTTCTGATGCCGAACGAGGTGAAGCTTTCGCAGGCTTGACTTGTGTAACCATAGTTGGCCCTTCTCCCATTTGTGAATCGTCGAAACTTTTTCGGTGCTCCAGATCTTTGAGTGTGAGTTTTGGCGCATCTCCATTGGATGGTTCTTCTGCAGTCGCAGTTTCATCCACTGCTTCCTCTCCCTCGCTGGTTCTGGGTACTCCATTTATTGACTCTGGTGCATCGACCGTGAATGAGCTAGTATTTTCGATATTTTTATCCAATTTCGAAAGGTTCAATCTGGCCTCCTTCATATGTATCCTTGTCTTTACTCTCTCAAAAACCGTGCCAACCATTTGTGTCAATGTCCCTTGCGCAACCTGTTGATTCGGACTACTTTTCGAAAGTAGGAAGACATTGTAAACTTGTCGCACTGCCTTTAACAATCCCGCACCGTGAACCACAATTTTATCATTTAAAACTGCTGCCAATAACGATTTCACAATCTGCAGTTGGATTTCGACTGGGGTAGTTTCTCCCTGAAAACAATCGCATATTGTATCTATCGCTCGTTCGATTAATGGCGCACGATCTGCTTCTCTATCTGCGTTTGGCGATGAAGGAACTGAGAAGTAAGAATAGCTAATCAGTTTCCCAATGCAATCTAATGCCGTCGTAGTCAATGGGATACTTCCGGATCGTGTAGCTTGTTGTAATGGATCGAAAATGATTTCGGGATCAGGTAATTGAGGTTCATGTTCTTTAATATCCTTCAAAGCTTTCTCGACCGCTTCCCCTAATCCCTTTCTTTTTTGGGCCTCTTTTGAATTATGTATAGCTTCCAGAGCCGAAATCACAAAGACGATGGAGCTCATGGTGGTCGATCGATTGCGCCAACTTCCATTCGTGGGTCGTAGTGTGGTATCCTATTCTTTAAAGAGAAAGAAGAAAAGATCCCATGAATGTAATGTCCTCACACTTGGGTTAAAATTTATGAAATTAATAATTCCCTTGTATCTGTATGTGAGGGTTGTATTTCGAGGGGGGAAAGAGAACGGGTCATAATCACCAATTTCTTTCCCGATGAACCCTTAGCTGCCACATTAATAACACATTAACACATATCTGGTCCGGCCATTTCATTGGGAACGTGGATCCCTGTCCATTGGAAATCCATTGAGCGCTTCACCACCAATCAAACCCTCGACCCTCTCTGTCCGCGCTTAACCACCAATAGGACTCTTGACGGTGGAATAATCTACGCATACTCTACCACTATACTACTTTTGTACTAATCTCAAGGAGCTCCGGTCTGCCAACGGAACTCAACCTACGAGGTTTTCCGATATTCAACAGAACAATTTAAATCTGTGTTTTTGTCGCGAATAACTTCCTCCCACTCCACCCCAAACATTTACCACCCACCTTCCCGCCCTGATCCTACAATACCGGATTCACAATATCCAAAGACTTTTATTTGTCTGGATACTGATTTGGGTTCTCTTCACTCCTTTACCTTTAGTGCTTTCGTTCCTCTTTTCCTCTAGATATTCCCATCAAGATGTTTTCCGCAGTGTTGAGAAAGCGTGCCCTTCAATCACCATCTCTGCCATATCAATTAGCAAGATGTTATGCCTCGAAATCTTTCCCTCCCCATACCGTAGTCACTATGCCAGCTTTATCGCCAACCATGACTTCAGGTAACATTGGATCGTGGCAAAAGAAGCCGGGAGATGCAATTGTTCCTGGTGATGTATTGGTAGAGATTGAGACCGATAAGGCGCAAATGGACTTTGAGTTCCAAGAGGAAGGTGTTTTGGCTGCCATCTTGAAGCAATCTGGAGAGAAGGATGTTGCTGTTGGAAATGTTTGTACTACTTCAAGCTATAGAAAGGTTCGAGTACTGACGGGAAACTAGCCAATTGCTGTGATGGTTGGAGAAGGAGAGGATACATCGGCTTTCGCGGATTTCACACTCGCAGATGCAGGAGGAGAGAAGTCTGCACCACCACCACCAAAGGAGGAAGCCAGTCAATCTTCCGAGAAATCTGATACACAATCTGGAACTGCTCCCCCTCCCCCAACCGAATCGACCCCAGCTCCGGAGGAATCCGCTTCAAGTGGTGGAAGATTACAACCTGCTATGGATAGAGCAATCAATGCTAGCTCTGCGGCTATTAAATTGGCAATTGATACCGGTGTTAAGATTACTGGTGTCAAGGGTACTGGACTCGGTGGACAAGTTACTGAGGCTGATGTCAAGAAGGCTTCTTCTGGAGCTTCAAGCAGTGGCGCACCAGCTGCTGCTACTGCCAGCTACGTCGATACTCCTATCACATCTATGCGTAAGACTATCGCCAACCGTCTTACCGAGTCTGTGAACCAAAACCCCCACTACTTTGTCGCCTCTACTGTTTCCGTCTCCAAGCTCATCAAGCTCCGCACAGCTCTTAACGCTTCCGGAGAAGGGAAATACAAGCTCTCAATCAATGACTTCTTGATCAAGGCATGTGCTATTGCATGCAAGAAGGTTCCAGCTGTCAACTCAAGTTGGAGAGATGGTTTCATCCGTCAATTCAGCAACGTTGATGTCAGCGTAAGTTCTTTTTCTCCTACAAGTTCACTGTAAATTACTAAAATTTCTTCTCAGGTTGCCGTTGCCACTCCAGTTGGTCTCATGACCCCAATTGTCAAGAATGTCGAAGGACTCGGTCTCGAATCCATTTCAGCACAAGTCAAGGACCTTGGCAAACGTGCTCGTGATGGTAAACTCAAGCCAGATGAATATCAAGGTGGAACTTTCACCATCAGCAACATGGGAATGAACAGCGCTATTGATCGATTCACTGCTGTCATCAACCCACCTCAAGCCGCCATTCTCGCTGTAGGAACCACTCAAAAGGCAGCTATCCAAGGTGCAGATGGAGGAATTGAATGGGATGATCAAATTACTGTTACTGGAAGCTTCGACCATAAGGTTGTTGATGGTGCTGTTGGTGCTGAATGGATGAAGGAGTTCAAGAAGGTTGTTGAAAATCCTTTGGAGTTGTTGCTATAGAATTGATGTGATGTGATGTGATATGAATTCGGGGGCTAGGACAGGATTAGAACTGGCTGGAATGGAATGTTTAGGGAGGTTAGTTGATGTGTAGGCTGATGATACCGATGAAAGAAAGAAGAAAAGAGATTCCCCCATGTAACTTCTTGTACGATAATCAAATCAACGATTCGTCGTAGTATGCTTTTTATGTGAGACTTAATTACAATGATTGACACTGATATTTGCGATTACAATATCAGCCGAAGAGACCTTGCAAAAGTCACTGTTGATATTTTTGGTTGGTTCTGAGTTATACTTCATTTCATAAATTATTACTTTCAATGAGCTCACATTTCGTTTGAAGTAAGCAGGCAGACAGACAGACAGACACAGACAGGCAGGCAGGCAGGCTAGCAAGCAAGCAAGTAATCAATCAATCAATCAATCAATCAATCAATCAATCAATCAATCAATCAATCAATCAATCAATCAATCAATCAATCAATCAATCAATCAATCAATCAATCAATCAATCAATCAATCAATCAATCAATCAATCAATCAATCAATCAATCAATATCCGTGGATCTCCACACTCTTCCCATACTCAAGTAATACGATTACATATGTATTAATATACATATAATAATGAATCCTAACCAATCCTAACAACACCTAGCTAGTTGAACCTAAACCCCCTTTTCAAATACCATCCACCCATGACTTGTGATTCCATCCCATAGTACTCACTCGAGTTACCCAAGCCACCCAGTCCCATATAATATATCCAACGCCCAGCAATGCATCGATCGATATGGTATGTAAGTAAAAGTGCGTATCGTATGTAATTAAGTGCGATAATTCCTTCTTGCTCCAAGGTTCAAGTGCACAATTTTCGATATCCAGCTCAACCCCATCTATTCGTTCACCCTAAACCCAAAACACCATTCCCACTTCCACTTCCACTTCCACTCCCACCAGCATCCATCTCTCTCCTATAGACCCCCTCAAAATCCAATTGTCCAATGCACCCCATAACCGTATCAATCTCTCTCTGCACATCCTGCAAATTCGCTTTTAATGCTTCCACCTCATCAAACTTTCTTCTCTTCCCCGCATCTTTTACCATTCCTTCGACGAAAAATTTCTGTTCTTCTAAAACTATTAATTTTTCTCGTAATTCCTTTTCCTCCTGTTCCATTTGAGATATTTGGGAAATATCCGAAACTTGTGACGATGTTTCTGTAGCTGTATCGTTGAATTTGATATTTGAGAGGGCGGAACGACCATTTTGAGGTCTTAAAGATGAGTGACTTGAAGAGGGAGTAGCATGTTTGAGAACTTTGGGGAGAGATTTAAGAGGAAGCATATGGAGATGAAGGAAACTAGAAGATTGTTGATAGATTGATTTTTGAATCTTTTGTTGAGTAGGTGATGTGGTTGGTAAGTCACGTATGCGTCTTCCAGCTTGATCATATTTTCCGAAACTATCTATTAATCTCTTTCGAACTTTAGCTGCTTCAGCAAGTTGAACATGTGATGGTGGTTTTTCTGGATCTTGAAGTGCAACTAATAATCGTTGGAAATTGGGTAGTAATAGTCGAATGCCCTTTTCGAATTGTAGAAGATTTTCATAAGCCCGTTGTAATGGTGTCTTCTCCTTGATTTCTGCAGCAAAATCTTTCTTGGAAAAGACTGTAATTTTACAATCGCGACACATCCGTATATCGAGACTTACATTCTCCGAATGTTTTTCTGACTGAATGTCAGTCACTGGAATATGTCAATGAATGACACTGAAAGTATAGGGAAATGTTGGAAATGTTGGGAATATCGAAAAAGATAAAAACTTACGTGCTGTAACATTTAATCCAATTTCAGAGGAACATCCAGTTCTAGGATCTGAGCAAACAACTCGTCCACATAATCGACAGTGATGCCGTCGAAATGACCATGAACCAAATTCTTGTTGACAAAAAGGACATTTTGGAACTTTTGCATCCTCTTCCCAAGTTACCACTGATTGTTCAAGTATTTTGCGCGGATTCTTCTGTCCTGCTAAAGATAATAATGTCCCATTACTGACCAGATCTTCGGGTGGGTTCGCAAGTAGTTGAGTTAATTTAGTGAGTCGTTTCTCTAACCTCGAGATCTCCAAATATGCTTTATCCACATGCTTCCTTCTCATTGCCATAAAGTCGTTTGTATGATCTCGCAAGTAACCATTATGATCATTATATCCTTCTCTTGACTTGAAACAAGTCTCGCAAACTCTACACCATAATCCCCTTACAGGTTCATGTTGTGCCGACCTCGAGAGTTTGATTTGGTACATCGTGTGATCCTCACAGAATAGAAGACCGCATTTCCTACAATTAACAGCTCCATTGACAGCACCAAGTCTTTTCCCGCAGATAGGTTCCGTACATGTATCATTGAATCCTGACTTCTGCCAATGTGTCCTTGTAATTACTTCGTCGGGATCTGGTCTCGTTGGCTCGGGGTTTGACATGCGATTTCCAGAAAGTGTATTCGGTATAGGAGTCGATGATGTTGATACATCATTTGATTCGAATACATCTAGTCCCTTGAGCTTTTGATTTATGACTGCCAATGGTTGGAACTTTTTTGCCTTGGTAACCTGTTTGTCGAACCAATTCTTCACTTCGTCCTGTTCTACCTCTGGAAGTTCTTGGTGATTATCATCGAGATGTCTATTGAGAGTGAGTTTCCTTTCCAACTTTCGAAATACAAGTGGCATACCGGTTTAATTGCAATAAAGTCATCTGCCAAACATTATTATTGCTCTCACATTACAATATATCAAGGGGCTAGCCTACCATTTCTTCGCTACATATTGGACAGAGGAGCTTCGAGGTCACAGCGGTGACACTTGAAGAGCGACCATTTTCCAGCGAAACTCTCGACCTTAAATCCTGACTATCGTTTGGTAAAGGCGAAGTCGCAAGAGGAGATATTGAATGAGTCGAACTTAACGAAAGAGTACTTTCTGAAGGGGGAATGAAACTGGAACTTCGTTGTTGCGCCGGAGGGGTAGGAGGTGCCAATGACTTCCCACTACCCAAAATCCTCCCACCTCCCAGCTTTCTGCTGGACATGATTGTAAAGATATCAAAATTGTGAGGGATTTTACCTCGAATCCTCACCAATTCAAGACATTGATTTATTTAAAGGTTCTCTGTCTTCAAGGCTTTCCAAGGCTTTCCCTCCGCCTTGTTCATTCTGTGACGGTGGTTTCGAATGTCTTGAGTAAGCGAAGCTCTGCTCTCTGGCTGTGCCTTATCGGTACTGTACCGAATTCCATTTGCTTATCGGAAATGTCATCAACGATAAGCATTCACATTTACAATAAAGCACAGAATTATATCCAATAAAGAATTGGTTATTATGCACAACATCCAATATTTCAATGTCAATACCGATGGGTGAAGAAAATTTTCCAGAAGTTGAGGGTGGCGGTTCATTGATACTGGCATGGCAAATCAAGAATAAACGGGTACTAGTCGTTGGAGGCGGAGAGGTAAAAAAAACTCCTTTCCATCATCATTCTTCCGTACTCATCATTTGAAAGGTTGCGGCAGGTCGAATCTTGAACGTTTTAAATGCAGATGCAAAGGTCACTGTTGTATCACCTCGAGAAGGTCTAAACCCCGAAGTCGCATATCGAGTACAAGAAGGACAAGTCGACTTTGTGGATAGAAAGTTCGAACCATCCGATCTCGACAATGTTGACATGGTATTGACTGCCGTCGATGACCCGGAAGCATCTTCACAGATATGGAAGTTATGTAAAGAGAGGAAAATAGCAGCGAACATTGCAGATGTGCCCCCTGAATGTGACTTCTACTTTGGAAGTGTTCATCGAGATGGTCCTTTACAAATCATGGTTAGCACAAATGGGAAAGGTCCACGATTTGCCAATATTGTAAGGAGACAAATTGCTTCGAATTTACCAGACAAAATTGGAGAAGGGATAGAGAAGATTGGAAAGTTGAGGCAGATGCTCAGGAAGGTTGCACCAGGACCAGAAGAAGGACCAAAGAGGATGGCATGGTAAGCATTTCTCGACAATGATTTTGCCACCATACTTATAACAAGCAGGATGATCAAAGTTAGCGACGCTTATAGTTTGGAAGACCTACATGCGATGAACGAAGAAGATATGGAAATGCTACTAAGATTCTACGCCCCAAATCAAGTCCCACGATTTCATTGTTTACAGAAGATGAAGGATAAGTCGTGGGACTTGGGATGTTTACGACCATTGAAGGATGAGGATGAAACTTTCGATGGCTCTTGGGGATTTTCAGTGGGATGGGGTTGATAGATTTGACCGACTATATACATAACGGGAAATATTGGCGTTTATTCTATCAGAAACAATTCTACGAAAGAGTACTTGAGAGGCGCTTTTCCAAGCTTTTGGAATAACAGTTACTTATCATGGACTATCTCAATCGAAAACAATTGGAAATGAACCAAGAGAATTTATCAAGAGAACTTATCATATTGGGACAAAAGTGCTGATGTTTCTCCCATCAACTTACCCACTCCAGCCACTCTCATCTTACCTTTTCCTTGGCTGCAATGTTCTGTTGAAGTTCGTCCACCACTCTTATCATGAAACGATGTTTGGCCAAGCTCTGATGTTCTATATATGATTCTTTCGAGTTATGGCTTGGGTCTGATTTCGTATATTTGACTTTCTTAAGTTTGTGGTCTAGGTCTGACGTCTTCAAAACTCACATACTTCATACAAACACACAAACATACGGTGTACAAGCATTGAGGATGGCCTTACTCCGGCAGGTATGTTGCAAGAGTTCTTGGGGTGTATTGGTCCGAGAGTTTTAGGTAGATCTGATATGCCCAACAACATGTTTTTATTGTATTGCAGATTGTGTATGTTTCTCCTTTTTATATCTTTTTCAAATCATTAATTCAAGCTACATGAGAGTATTTATCGCTTTTGATAACTTGATCCTTCCGGCTAAGACGTTCTTCATCTAGCCATTTCTCCGCGTTTCACTAGGTTAATACGTCCGGGGTCCCCACATCCCACGTACGTTGGAGAATTCTCCTCATCAAGTCATCAAGTCATCAAGTCATCAAGTCTGATCATAGTAGATCTTATCTTCGAATGAAAGTGCAAGTAACCCTGAGGAGTACGAATTTCATTTCTCGGCATAACCCTGACCCGACGGAGAAACTTTTGAAAACAAGATATCTCAAGATGAGAATGTGAGGCCAAGACTTAATTATATCTATACCCCTCAATGATCTCCTGTTCCTTGATTACATGTGAATAAGCATAATGTCAATCTGCGTAAGAACATATTTGATGATGATTTGTGAATATGCTGATACTATATAAGCTGGTAAGTTCCTATCTCTTTTCCATTTTTTATTCTTCATCACGCCTCATAATCACATCAAGATGCGGTACTCTCTTCTTTTCGCATATGCATCCGCATCTGTAGCAAGTGTAATTAGTTCAAGGGCCGAAGAGACTGCTATCAAGTATTCTACCTTGGTTTCTGATTCATTCATTCAAAGGGGGGTGCCCAAAACCGCCCAATATGCTCAAGCAGTCTTCTATCGAGGTGTTGAACTGGCATACAATGCCACCAGAAACGCAACATACATCAATTGGTTAAAATCACAAATGGATACTGCTGTATCTGCAAATGGATCAATTCTCGGTTATCCATCCTACCCAGCTTCCCTTGATGATATTCGAATTGGAACCATCATCCTCGATACATGGGCTCGAACCAACGAAACACGATATAAAGTTGCCGCCGACAAATTACGTCAACAATTCAACTACAATCCACGAACTGCATCTGGAGGATTCTGGCATCGTGCACCTACATACCCAAATCAAATGTGGTTGGATGGTATTTTTATGGCTGATGTCTTTTATGCTCAATGGACATCCTACTTTGATGCTGCAAATGTTACTGCTTGGGATGATATCCTCTTGCAATATTCGCTTATTGAAGAACATTGTCGCAATCATACCACCAATCTTATCGTTCATGGTTATGATGAAAGTAAAACTCAAGCATGGGCTGATCCTGTAACAGGAGCATCACCTAATGTATGGGATCGAGCATTGGGATGGTATTTAATGGCCCTCGTCGATGTTCTCGATTACTTCCCTAAATCACATGAAGGACATGCAAAGCTTCTTGATTGGTTCATTACTGCATCAGCAGGAGTAGCTGCTGCACAGGATACAACAGGTGGTTGGTGGTTAGTTATGAATGAACCATATCCAGGAAAATCACGCAATTATATCGAATCTAGCGGTTCAGCAATGTTCATCTATGCGATTTTGAAGGGTGTTAGAAAGGGATATCTTGGAAGTGAATATATTGCACCAATGAAGAAGGGTTATGAATATCTTGCGGAAACTTTTGTCGCCTTTAATGGAACGAATGGTACTGTTAATTGGGAAGGAACAGTTGTGGTGGGAAGTTTGGGATCGAATGCTACATTTGAGGTTTGTCTTGTGTGTGAAATTTTATTGGAAATTTGACTAACTTTCGGATAGTACTATACCTCGATTGCTATTGATGAGAATGATTTGAAGGGTGCTGGACCTTTTGTTTATGCTAGTGTAGAGTATGAACAATTGGCAGCATGAAATATTGTATGCATTGGTTTGTTTACCAGGAACGAAGGCTTTAAGATAGTTTGATTGGTTTGATCAACTATGCCACAAATCTAGTACATGAAGTGATGAATTGTTTATGCGAGAAAGATTGTTGAAATCAAGGACTTCTCATTATGAGACTATAGCCTGAAATGTCGAAGTAGAGAAGAATTGTATATACCCATCAAGGTTTCTACATGAAATAATTGATCATCTATTGATTATGAATGTGACCATTGGAAACAATCGTCATTCTACTTCCAATACCAAATATATTTAATCGTACATCTACATATGAATAGAATCTAGACCATGTCACACCGAAAATAATATAGGGGGCTCGCCACGTGATATACATGTGACATATAACACAAAAAAATGCTGAGAAGTCCTTTCATACTTTACGATTCGCCAATTTATCTACAACTGCGCTTGCAAATGTGCTTTTTGTGGAAATGTAGTAAAATCATACCCATTTCCTTTCTCAATACTCCTCTTCCAAGCAGGTCTCTCATAACACCTCTTTAACCATTCATCCAAAGCCGGAAACTCCTTGTCCAAATCTACCCATCCTCTCTGTTTAATCAACGCCATTGGAAACTCTAAAATAATATCTGCTCTTCCGGGATTCTTCCCCATGAAAAATCCTCCCTCAGGACCTTCTTTCAATTCTTTCTCTAAATCTCCCAATGATTTCCTCAAAGCGGGTCCATCGAATCGTTTTCCCATAGGTCCAGCTCCATTAGCTATAGCATTGAAATCAAGCATCAACATGATATTTACTGCTCTTCCCAAATCAGTCAAGGTAATAGAAATGAGCATTTCATCGCGGATCCAATCGCCATTACGGAGACCAAAGGTATCAGCGGAATCGAAAGTACGGATAAGATAAGTGGCTATGGCGAGAGATTCGGGGATATAACGATTTCCATCTTTGGGACCAGTGATGAGCAGAGGAGCTTTTCCATAATGACCAGTGGCTTGAAGAGATGGTGGTGCGAGTAGAGGAGCCTTGGGATCGGTAATGGGATTGCGGGTATGGAGTTGGAGATTGTAGGGAATGGAAAGTTCTTCTAGGAGCCAAAAGATTCGTTGAGATTGTGAGTCCTTTGATTATTAGTATTTGATTAGGTATCATTGAATAATTTGAATGGTTAATACTTACATTGAGGTGGTGAAATGTAGGTGTATTGTCTGTCATTTTGTTGGGTTCAAGGTTTGATGTGATGCAATGCGGGGTAGAAATAGGAATGGTCAGATATACCGGTATAACAACAAACTGCACGAGAAATGGGATTTATATACAAGAGATATGATGTCGATTTAAAGTTTAAAGAAGAAGTCTAGAACTTTATTCCACCAGTTCAAATCACCTTGATTTATAATATCGAGATGGAGACGTCGATTTCAAGGTAAACAGAATAAGATCCACATGATTCGGTTAGGAAGAGAGGGGCCTCGGAATTTCGGTCGACTAGTGACGTTCCGAATCACATTGAGTCCGGACATAATGAGATGGGAATGACTAGTTAGTCGGACATAAGAGAATGTGTTGTAACTTCATTGAATAATTACTTTCAACATTGAAGAATTTATCGGTGAAGTTTCTAGAGTTTTGGGGTTTTCTGAGTGGTAATTTTGGTGTATCATTGATACTACCCAAGCCAAAGTTTGTGAGGGATGATAAATCTTGATTATTTTCAAATTGCATATTTATTTCACTTGGAGCTTGACATATATTGAAGACATATGGGGTTATTAGAGGATACTTATGGTGTAATAAGGAAACTTATATTTTTTGTATTATTTGGGGGGTTTAGGTATTTTGGATTGACTATGAAATTCAAGAAAGTACTTGAAAAAGAAATCGCGAGAAAAGGAAAAATCTCAACACCCAGTGGATGTTATCGCCAGCGACACTTATCCCTACTCAACTTCTTCGCACTCCATTCTCAATTTCTTGTTCGTCGGCTTACCATTCTGGGTAGGCGGATAATTTCCAATGGCCACTCGGTCCATGGGGTGAATCGAACAGTGCAACGATCACAAAGGCCTACCTTTGCACCCGGACGTATCCTGATTTTTGGAATTGAGACTTGAATGTGGGCTTTCAAAGTGCGAGTTGTTTCGGCCTTGAACATGATTTTCAAAACATTTTTCCACATGGCTCTCCTATTCGGAGAATCAAACTTATGTGGACGAACACAATCAAAATCCTGAACAATAAACTCATTCAAATTGTTATACAGCAAGTTTGTGAATATGGTCCGATTTGGATCGTACCTCCTAAATCTAATGTCCTCAAATGAGTGATAATAAAAATGTAGAAAAGGTGAAGCCCGCATCACATGACTAAAAGAATTCATGAAAACATCGGGAGATACTTGAACCTTCTTGACAAAGTCTGGGTTTATGAGTAGTGGACACTCTGGCCGCCATAATAAATTAGTATCTCTGCTAGGTACGTAAGTATCACAACGAAGATATTCATCGACTATAGTGTCAATTTCAGAATTGAAGAGAATTCTAAGTTTCTCTCCCTTTGGAACCCAATAATCCCCTAAAAGTCTTAAATCCTGAAGACGCTCGGCCGAAATTGCTATGTTTTGGTAACATTTTAGGGATTCATATCTAGTCTCTGCATTAACACCAAGTAAAGAAGGAATGTTAATAGAAGTTAGAGGTTGGTCGCTGTTAACGCTCAAGATCCGTCTATTCAACAAACGAGGAGTTAAAGTGAGCTTCCAGATCATGACTCGTATGTCTAGGGGAATTTGTGGGAAAAGTGTGAAATCAACTGGGGTTTGAATATCAGAGGATTGAACCGGAGCTTGATCATTAGATTGATCTTGAGCCAGAGCTTGATCAGATGATTGATCTTGAGAATTCATCTTGAAAGTAATTTCTAGTTCTTGTGAGCTGAAGCCTGAAATACTTAATTTAGTTACCTGAGAAGTGTAGTATAGTGTAGTGTAGTGTAGAGATGGTCAAATAGACGAGGATAATTTTTTAAAATGATTATAAAACACCAGAGTTATATAGACTGAACTAGGTAATGTTTCATCATCATTCTCTATGAAGATAAGCTTTGTTCGAGATTTCTTTGAGGTATGTTCCAAAGTTTAGCAGGGTTTCTTTGTTTATTGTGATAAAATGGTGAACAGGCGGATAGTTACCTTTAGAACAATCCATTATTCTAGTCAAGTCTTTGAATCGCATCAAGTGCTGAGAACCGGAAATTGTTACTGCGAATTTATTTAGTGTACTCTGCTTCCGAATTATCAACCATCAGAAAAGTTTCAAGGGCACGATTTCCCATTACCAAGGGGATGAGTTTCATTATAATTGATTTGACATTTTGTAGGTAGTCCTGGATTCGTCACTACGGATTCCGCATCTCTTTGTCGTTCCTGCCCAATATCATAAGAATGTCGCATTTTACCACCAAACAAGCAGTCACCTCTACTCCTCAAGCTTTCAGTATAAAAGGAATAATGATACTTAGTCCAAACAGTATCTAATGCTCACATGCAAATACCGATTTCAATTTTCATGAATTTCCTTTTGTATTTACCAAATTATTTACAAGTGATATAAATCATTTACCATCCCCGCAACCTAATCCCAATCATTCAAGTCAAAAGACTCAACTAAAATTCCCAGTACTCCACCAATCCTCCATATGACCCATTCCATCACCTCTTTGATGAAAAAAACTTTCCGCCAAAACCGCCAATTCATCATCAGAATAATGAAATGGTGGTTGAATAAATTCTTGTTCTCGTTCTGGATCTGTCGTTCCATTTCCTAAATTCACCACACTAGTATTGACAGAATTAGGACCAGATCCCTCAAAATCTTGTCCATCAACTCTAGTTGGTTCTGGTAGTGATGAAGCATGACTAATTTCATGAGTAGTAGGAATTGAAGCCGAATATAATGATGGTCCAAAAAGACGACGAGCTAATGCGGGAATTTCACTCGAGGAAGAGTATTCCAGAATTTCCCAAAATTGACCTAGATCAATGAGAAGACTACGATTAGGAGTTTGTGGTGGTGCATCAGGATTTGTATAAGTGGATGAAACTGTATCACAAAGACGTTGAAGTTTTTCCGCCTGAATTAATGTTAGTACCCCCAAAAATTCTCAAGGATAAATTAACTTACCATTCGATCAACATGAGGCCATTCTTTGAAATCTCGTATGAATTTCAAACACTTATCAAAGTTATCTCGTTTTTCTCGTCGTACAATTGGATCCTCGGCAAAACATTCTTGTAAATAGATTGTTGCAATAATTGCTACACAATGAGCAAGAAATGGATCAGAGACTTTGAAAGATTTAACTTCCAACATATCAATATATCTAATGACCCAACTAGCATGTGATGAGATCAAATCTGAAATATGTTGTAAGAATATTTCTGGAATGTTAGATTTGAGATGTTTTAATCGAAGTGATAATAAAAGTGGATTATTTAATAGGCAAAGGTTTGTGTGATATAAAAATTGAATGAACAACCAAGGACCCCAATAATCTCGATTGGCATGTAATTCTTCAGATGTTCTTTGAGAGAATTTGGCTGATTTGAAGCGATGTATTTGTGAGGTACGAGTTTCAAAGTCCATTTGTTGAGCCATTATTAATGCGTAATCTGATTGAGGAGACCATGGGGGTAAGGTACTTGGATTTCCACGTCTCCTCGCGTACCGGGTAATCTTAAACCACACTTCACTAAGTTGAATGGCATAAGCAACGACACCTTTATCTTGAGTATCAGATATAGCAAACTCTGGAGATGAAAGATCGGGAGTTTCTCCATTCGTAAATTGGCCATGATTCAATGGTTTACCAGTGGTTTCTGGATACCATGGAAATTTATCTTCACCTGCGAAATCAATAACACTGAACTCTGCTCCGTGTAATCTTTTGAGGAGAAATAAACTCCAAAAACATCGTCGGCGTTCTTCACGTAGCGAATCAGATAAAGGAGCGTGAGTTTCTGTCGTGAGACCAGCATTATGAGCTAAACTCATGGCTAGACTACTATGTACACTTGCTTGTCGTGTGTTACCATCTGAAAAGTGTCAGCTGTGTGGTATTTTGTGGACGTATCATACATACTAGTGAAGTCTACTAAACTAAGAAGGCATAAAGATTGTAATGTTGAGAGTTCTACCCGACCTCCAAATATTCGGGCGGAGATAATTAATTGAGCTGCCTCTACATATCCCGTAATGAGTTCAGATTGATTATCTCGGAAGATATCATCGTCTGAAAAGCGTATTGCCAAAGCTAGGATTGAGAAAATTACTTCTGGATCACGGTCGTTGATTGTTTCAACAAATCTCTTCCGACAGAATACAGGAAGTGGTTGACAATCGCAGTATAGTAAGTAAGTTTTTGCAATACTTATGACTGCCTCATATGGCGGAAGCTTGCTTTGATTTGGTCAATTTATTGATCGTATAAATTACTGCATTGAAATTTCTCACCTACTCGAAAGCCTAAAAACATTTGGTGTTCTCATTGTCTGTCCCAATTGTGATAAAACAGGGGAATTTGATATATGTCTTGACGCACTCCTACTCATGGATACTTGATTTGAAAGGACCTCTGCAAGTTGAGCCTCAACTGATTTCAATCTCTCTTCCTAGTAAATTTGGTAAGCGTTCATATTCATAATCATAGTCTTACATTTATGACTTACTAAATTTATATCATTTGATGATCTCACATGGCGTTTCTCTGGTATTCGAGTCGGTGTCGGTAATGGAGTTCTCTCAATTGAGGTTCTCTCATTGACATGATTTAAACCATCATCAGAATAATAACAATTTTGTCTTAATCTCGCACAATGTGAGCATATTGGTTTTTCACCCGGACATCTCGTTTTCTTGCGCCTATTCCAAGTTATTCATTAGTCAAAACAATTTTATATATTCATGTTCTTTAATTCCCACTTCTCATACTGATTCCCTTCTCATACTGATTCCCACTTCTCATACCGGCCATCCCTTAATCCAAATGAAAAGAACTATTACGTACCGACATGGCTCACATGCTTGACGAATACGTTTTGCTGGACGTTCTGACATTGAAGCACTTTCGATGAAATGTGCAAAAAGATTGAGGTCGTTCATCTATCATGGTGTTTATTTATCAATTGAAATGCGTGAGTGGGATAAAACTTAGTTTATTGATAAAGAAGTCAGTGCAATTAATGCACTAGTAGTAGTCATAATTATGTTACTAACCAGATTTGGGTCAAATCAAGGAGCAGGGGTTCCCGGCGGAGAACGGATATTATTCGGATCATCCTCCTTTTCTACCCGAGTGGTGAGGAATATTTTATTCAATATAAATTGTGTAGTCATTATAAGATTTCAAAATTATTATAAATGATTTTAATTTTGAATATGAATCATTAATCATTAATCATGAATCATGAATCTATTATCAAAATTTCTAAAATAATGAAAATTATACCATCTAGAGTATTCAGAAATCAAGTACTCCTTGTTGACTTCATGTTGACTCCTTGTTACACCTTGTGACTCCTTGATGTACTTTGATGTACTCCTCGATGTACTCCACAATGTACCCCTCAATGTACCCCTCAGTGTACCCCTCAATGTACTCCTCAATGTACTCCTTGATGTCCCCCCAACCCATGAAAAGCAAGTACTAAAATTTATAAGCTAGCCCTCATCTCGACTTCTGGTTGTGTACCCAAAACATTCCTCTTAATATCCAAATCCATATCATATTCATTCATCTCCTCAATTGTTAATTTCTTCTTCTCATCCAATACTTTGTAATTCGGATTGTTGGTATTCGATGAAAATCCAATCCGTTCATTGATATTTACCCTAGCACGAGCACTAGCCGCTTGTACCCGTGAAGCTCTAGGCTTACGAATTTGTTCATACAACTTTAACCCCTCGCTAATGGTTTCTTTTGAATTGGCAAATTCATATTTCCTTCCAAAAATTATACCCAATGCAGCCGCATCTTCTAAAGCCTGACATGCCCCTTGACTTTGATCTGGAAGCATAGGATGTGCTGCATCACCAAGAATACAAGTAGAACCCTTTTGCCAATATGGATATGGTTGATGAACAAATAATCTCCATGGTTTGACGTCCGTTGAGTTCTTGAATAATGCAAGAAGTTCCGGGTCGAGGTCAGGAAATGGTCGGAGAATATCTTCAACGGTAAGATTAATATTCCAACCTTCACCGGCGTGAGGACTTTCGTTTGTTGGAAAGAAACAATAGAATGAGTGAACTTCTCCATCTCGGCATGGTGAGAAGACAATCTTGTGAATTCCTTGTCCACCCCAAAATTCGATAGCACTATTCGGTGATAGATCTCGAAGTCCTAATCTCCTTGCATCTTTTGTTTCGATGATACAATGTAAACATGTGGATGTAGATAATTCTCGATCCGGCACAATTCCCAAAGTTTTTCGTACTTGTGACCCAATCCCATCTGCGCCAATAATCAAATCATGTTTGACTTTGAGACCATTTTCAAAAGTAGCAATACCTTGTTCATGATCGATCTCGGCACATTTGTGATTGCATTTAAGAATTGCTGGTATGCCGGAATGATTTGACCCAGTAGCAGAGTCCATCAACATCTCGTGCATATTGACTCTGTGAAACATATTGTAAACGTATCCCCATCTACTCTTATAGTCGGCCAAATCATATACATTTTGAACCTCTCCAGTTTTCCAATCATGCGATATAAGTTTTTCTAGAACCACAGGTCGTCCAATTGAGATATTGACACCCCATTCTTCAAGCCACTTTGTGCCATTCGCCGCACAAGATATAGAAGCACCAACTTCTCCAGCGAAATCTGCTCGTTCATATATTGTGACTCGATGTCCGGCTTGTCGTAAACTTGTGGCAGCAGCGAGACCACCTATTTTATCAGATGGTTAGTTATTGTGAATAATTCCAAATGGGATTTATGCATACCTATTCCACCACCAATCACACCAATATCCAATTCTCTCCAGGAATTCTCCATTGAGCTAATATTGATCGACGCCGAATAATGAAAATTGTAAGATGGATGATATGGAATCTCGACAAAATGAATTCACGGATATTGATATGTTTGAAATCAAATAATTGAAATCAAATAAAATGATAAAAGATTTACTTGACCAGAAATGAAAACATAAGAGTGTTTTGTTTACCTTGACTCTCTTTATAACTCCTCTGTCGCATCACCAGAGTTCTTACCTATGATGGATACAGCTGGTACAATTCCAAATTGGTTAAACGCAGTCTGCAACATCTTGCATTAGAATGAAACCCCTCACTCACTTATCGTCGAGATAGGAATGATTCGTAGATACATCTAAGCTGAATGATTTCCGCATCCGCTTCCGTGTTGTGTAAATAGTTTGACTTTTTGAAGATGGGATTAATTGGCAAATTGTTGGAATAAGACCTTTATCATGACTTATGTAAGACATTCCGCTTCCGATCCGTTAGCGTGTTACCAACTATCAGCTCGATTCCCGCAATCCTTGCTAAGATAACCCGCTGAAGTAGCCTTTCCGACATTACAGCTTTATTATTGGTGATGTCTTGCCTTACTTCTTGATGACATTCCCAAATTCACATCACCACGTTTTAAGATTGAAAAGTCAAATTCAAAATGACTAATCTAGATGATCCATCAGTCAATACTCCTATGGACTTTCTAAGAGAAGATGTCAAATACGCAGAAGAGCATGACTTGCAGACTTTGAGTATCTTCACTACAAGACAAACCAAAGATGATAAGCTTCTCACGGGCGTTGGAGAACCTTTCACAACTCCATCCAAGATTTGGGTAATGTAAAAACTCCCAAATCCGTCACACTTTATATATATCACGTGACTTTCATCAATTCATCATTCTAACATCTCTTCAGTTATATTCATGGGGGAGCGTGGCGTGATCCACTTGTGACATCTTCTTCTTTCATTCCAACGATCAATAATCTTGTGACTTCATCTGTTGAATCCAAGATTGCATCATTTGCAAGCATCAATTATCGTCTATCTTCTCATCCATCCTTTCCTCAAGATTCTTCATCAATTCCGAAACACGAATATCGCGATGCTAAGCACCCTGATCACTTAGAAGATATATGTTCTGCACTATCTTATTTACAATCGAAATACTCCATCGAAGATCAATATCTACTCCTTGGTCATTCATGTGGTGCAACACTGTCAATGCAAATTTCGATGGGGAAAGAATATTTACATTCTTGTGGTATACCAGATGAGCAATTGAATTTCAAACTCCCACGATATGTTCTTGGAGCAGCTGGAATTTATGATTTAAGATTACTTCGTCAAACACATCCTCATCCTGCATACAATCAATTTCTCACTCAAGCATTTGGGTCTGACGAACAACTTTGGGATGAAGTTTCACCAGCGAAATATTCCAATTTTGAGGAATTTGAAAAGAGTGGAAAGATTCTTGCTTTTGCTACTTCACCAGATGATGAATTGGTTGATGAGATACAAATTGATGTTATGTTGAGAAATTTGCATGGTATTAATGGAGTGGTGGTGAAAAATCTCAAAAATCATTTGAAGGGAACTCACAACAAAATCTGGGAGACTGGAAATTTGGCCAATGCTATAGTTGAGGTCTTGAATTTATTGGAGTAGTCGATTATGAGTGGAGAGTATGAGTGGAGAGTATGAGTAGAGAGTATGAATGGAGAGTATGAGTGGAGAGCATGAGTAGTCGAATATGAGTAGTTGAGTATGAGTAATTGAGTATGAATATTCGGATGTGAGTAGTCGGATATGAGTGGAGAGATTTAATGCTAAAGTTCGGAATTACAAACTTAATTTGACTTCATTACTTCATGAAGTCTTCATCTAAGGAAGTCGAATAAAGGTTATTCAATTTCAATCATTCCCTCGTGGTTGGAATGTCTCCGTTTTCCGTCATTTAGTCATTGCTCGATGGAGGCGAACAGCTGATATCAAGGTCGACTTGGAAACGATCATTCTTCGCTTGAATTTGTGATTATTTTGATATGGTAGCTCGTCTCACCTATTCTAGAAACTTTTACAGAACTAGAATATTCACAATTGGCCGGATCTCTCCACATCATTATAAGTATATGGAGACAGGAAGCCACAAGTCCAGTCATGATCTTCAAATCCACAATTGATCGTTATCCTACAGCTGGAAGGATTCTTGGAAAAGCCTCGTCGTACTTTGATCAAGTGTTATCGTACTGTTGATTTATAATGAAATTCAATCGATACCATTCAGGTTTAATACATATTAAATGTCAAGCAGGCAAGTCTTGGTTTGTGAATTTCACATCGATTTAATGATAGACCAAGTCAATTATTATTCCGTCCTAATATAGTCCTTCCATAAAGGTATCCATCTCTCCAAGATATATGGTCTAAAATTCATATAAAATCTCCATGGATATCTTGAAACTCCCTTCATGTCATTCATTTCTTAATTTCTTCTATCAAAATGCTTTCTCCAAAATCCATCAATTTTCACTTGTTTTTATTATCTTTCTTTACATTCTCCATCTCCAATTCTAGAGCTCTCTCTCAACTAGAGATACTTTGGAAGTATATTACCCTACTAATTGTTACAATACTCTTACTCAATCTCCTATTCTAAAATCTCATACTATTCATCTTTATCAACTGCCCAATCCCATTTACCACCCGGTTTATTTGCCTCTATCAATTTATACGAAATAGTCGAATGGCATGATAATTCATGGAAAGTGATAGTACCCGTAGATCCATTCACTGTTACAATCGAAATTGATTATGATTCTCCACAAGCATCCATTGGGAATATCATTGGTAGTGCTGTATCGCCGGATTTTGTTAGGGTAAAAAATTGTTACAAGCAAGAAAGAGGGGTACTTTTCAAACTCAACGAGTGGATTGAGTGTTATGCTGAATATGCTTGTGGTGATGTGAGTTTTTTCATTCATTCTAAGATTTATTATTGGTACTAATCTTTTGATGTTAGTTGGATTCGTACTAACTTTTTGATATTCAGTTGTAAATACTTTCGGAAGTTTGAATTGAAAAGAGTTTTGGTTACATTGGTAGTCATCTGTACCCCACCCCACTCAAGAATTCCAAGATCCAGGAGATGAGTAGACGAATCCATGAGTCGGCACCGGTAACTCAATTGAACACAAGTATATTATTCTTTGCATTTTATTTCACAATCTCGTCTGCTCTAAGGATTTCTTTCACCCAGGTGCAAAATCCATACAAGGCATTAGGGTAGCAGGAAGGAGGTATAGGGATGGTGGGGTTGAAGATTCTTTTATTGGTCCTGTTATGGCATAGGTTCTAGTTAGAAGACCTCGAGAGGATAATTAATGATTGTTGTTGTGATAATAATAACTATCTCCTTTGAATTTATATATGAACTACTTGTGGAGTCATTGATCAATGTAATTATTGAATAAAAATATTAATTGACACGATAACTTTCTCAAGTAAATCAAAAAGAGATGAAAGTCCATTATCTTTCTCGATGAATAAGATCATTACGATTCAAATGACATGTGATATGTGACATATCCTCAATACTCTGATCATCAATCATTTCATCCATTGAGATTTGGAAAGATAAGGTCCCTTGATCTTATTCTTCCTCATTATTCATCTTCTCCAACTCTTCATCCGTTGTGGTTTCATCAATTTTATAAACCAATTTTCCTGCACTAACTTTACCTTCCGATACTTCTAACATACTAAACTCCAGTCAATATAAATTCATTTTTGACCAAAAGAAAGAAATAACTTACCCATCAATTACTCCCTAATCCTTCTGGTCTCACAATAGCAGGTTGATTCTTTATCTTTCCCTCTTCACGTGGAACTCTCGACGTATATAGTTTGGTATTTTCAAAATGATTAATAGTATCTATTTAAACTCAACAACTTCGAAGCAAGACTTCAAAAAAATTGAAAGTAGCATCCGAGAGATTGTCAAGAATAGTAGCGGCTCACTTTTGTTTCCTTCTACTGTGATACAATTTGAGGTATCTAAATTCAAGTTAAATTTAAAGAATTCTATTTTTTCAATGAAAAAGGAGGAAATCGACGACAGAAGATACCACGATATTATCAACACTTGTTGCACCAGTTGATTGTTAACTCATGTCTGAATATTATCATTTATGACACATTTCTTCCCAATTTTCATCGAATTAATCCTGAATTACTTCGCTGTCAAAATCGATAAGTATGTCTCGTCTGGTTTGAATTCCACTCAACTTGAATATATAGTTCGGATTGTAATGTTGAATATCATTCCAGCTTCAGTCTAGAAACACTCTATGACTTTATTTCTGAGTATTTAATTAAGACAATCTATTCGTATAGCTTTAATTGGAAGCGATTAATAATTTAACACGTCTAAATAGGGGCAATAGGGGTAAGTCGGATAATTTGAAACGACGATTCATTCAAAAATTAGAATCACTTTTCAGGTAAATTAACAACACGAGGTTAAACATAGACGGGTGATGATTGTTTATTATTAAATATTGAAACCATCTTTCAAACCCAATGCTGTGTATAATCTAGGAGATAAATCCTCGGCTTACAATTCTCGGGAGTAGAAAATGTATTCAATTGCCGAAGAATGTCCCATCTATTTTATTTCCAAAATATAAATCATGAGAAATTTTCTAATCAAACAGATATTTCACAGCTTCATCAACTATTATACATACAGCCTTACAAATTAATCCTCGTATAACTTCTCCTGGACGACAAGGCTCACACCAGTGACATTCAAGATAATTTTCGATAACTAATATACATCACGAGCCTTTCTAATAATGTTACACTACTTCATCAATCATGCCACCATAAATGTATGCGGGTACTTCCCAAGAACTTGGTTTTGTTGCACATCGTAATCTGCGGATCATTCCATGGTTTAATCTTTGGTAATATGCATGATGCATCAGGTTATTTGTTGCATATCTTAGGTTTCGGGCATCTCCTTAAAATTACTAGTAAGAATTAAAAATTTGACTATGAGCCCGAGTTAGAGATGGTCATTTTTCAAGGGATATATGCGAGTATGAATAAATTAGGTATGAGGTGCATAATCGATGTATCCTAAGTATGAGTCTGCCACTGTGAGAGGAGTCTACTGTGAGAGAAGTCACTGTGAGAGAAGTCACTGTGAGAGAAGTCACTGTGAGAGAAGTCACTGTGAGAGAAGTCACTGTGAGAGAAGTCACTGTGAGAGAAGTCACTGTGAGAGAAGTCACTGTAAGAAGAGTAACAAATAATTAACTTCACGCACTATCTTCAATATACTTACACTCACACATACAATCACGAATCATTTTTAACCTTATCTCAAACTTTACCCCTCCTTTCTTAAAACCACATCATCATACATAAAAATTCCCCTCTTACGCAAACACGCATAAATTTTACAACTCCATCTTTTTAACCACGTTTGTTGCACATCGAGTCTCATATTACGGGGATTACTATATCATTTGTATTACATTTTGATCAATTTCAGACTTCAGTACGACTTAAAATGTAACGTAGTATACTTTTTATTCGACTTTTAACTATCATACATTTATCATATTTTTGATATCTTTTTGTTGCATATCTCGATTTGCGGACTGCTCCGCGGTATATCCACCATCTATCCACCATCTATATGGTGTCAACATAATAAATTATCGTCCTTGTATTACTTATAGTATTAGTTTTAAGGCGGGGATACTTATATAGAGTTTCACTGACTCTACTGATTCTACTGATTCCACTGATTCCACTGATTCCACTGACTTTACTTTGTGTTACTACATTATGATATTTAATAATTTGTTGCATATCTTATTTTGCCGCAACTGCCTTCTTTTCTACTACTGTAATGATGACTTGGTTATTTATACTCCACGTGTTGTCAAATGTCGTTTGATTTACATTTACCTAGAATATGTAGTTCCGTTGAGGTTTATTGTGGGTAGAATATCCACTTTGATGTATGATAAACCGAAAGAAGGAGAGCTTAATCATTTGAATTGTAATGTAGAAGTCCCGCTTTAGGATTGAAGATGTATGGTTTACCCCACTACTACCCCTCATACTTTATTTGGTATGGAGAAAATGGGGAAATCTCGACACGTGAATGTAAATCACTGGTAGAAACTACTTTAAAGAAGTAATTGGCTAGATCTTTTCATTTTTAGTACGAGTGGCTGTATAACTAAAGAGTTCTCTTGATTTGTATAACTAGTTTAGTACGGGTAAATATCTATTCTCCGTTCCGAATCAAGTGATTTAAAATGACATTCTTTTCGGGTTTGTTACTTGATTCTATCTTATTTGCATACTCAAAGATAACTATAATGGTTTGCATGAAGAATTATATTGAAAACCAATCAGAGATATGTTTGAGTACCTAGGTATCTGTAGAGAGATCATGAAGTAAATGTTCAAAATATCAACATTTCAAATGATAAGCGAGAAGCCCGAAATATAATGTTTAATCTATTTTAAGTCACATGAATTCACAAATGATTCAAATAGCTTAACGTGCAAGGTGGAAATGGAGACGGAATATGAAACCTATCTTCTCATATAATTCTCATGTACACAGTTTCCATACCTAAACTCGAAAATTGGAGGAAAATGTAACCCTACCTTACATTATCTATAGGAAAAGGAAAGCAGTAGTGCTATACATGAAATGATTACACAGATGACCTTGTTAAGAAACGTTTCCTAGGTGAAATATACTCAGGCGTATCAGATTCATTTATTGTTAAGCTAACTATATATAACAACAAAGAAATTTATACTCGTCAACGGGGTTCACCCCTATAAATTCTCTACTAACGAATTCAAGAACTCGCGCCCAATTCTAGATGTATAATATAAATTTTGAGAAACCTTAATCGTTTACTTGATTAAACAATTATAG